GTGTACATTAAATCCCGTCGCTTCTCGAGTGCGCGATCGGCTAAATGAAAAGCTCTCGTTTGGCCGTTGGGTTTGTTTTTGTTTACTTTCGTTGTCCGGCGAAGGCCCCGGCGCGGGATTTAATCTCGCGCGCGCTCGGGGTAGGCGCTCCCTACACCGTGGGGCGGCGACGCGACGTGACTTTCGGTAATTGACGCAATTAGCGGGCGGCGGCGTGGCCTCGCCGTGGTCGTAGATTTTGCCGTGGTCGGTTTTCACGTCGGTGCCGTTGAGACGCTCCACCGGGGCTGAGAGAGGGGGGGGGCGGGGTGGTATATAACGCCACCGCCGCAGCTCCTTTCCTCGGTGTGGTGCTAACGACCGCGGTGATGACGGCTCCCGCCACGGGTGTATTGCAAACACACGATTAGGAGTATCGATACGCGCTGCGAAGCTAACTCACGGGACACTCCCTGCGGTACGTGTGTATGAATGTTGAACTTAAGCCAACCGTGCTAATCTGAGGTGATGGGGTGGGGGGGGGGAACGACAACAAACTAAACGACAAAAAGCAGTTCTAAAGAAATTAGTTTGTCAATTTAGACGATGATTTCAAAGTGCCGCAGCTCCCAGTGGCTTCCGAACATCGGAAAGAAGAGCGTTCCAGACGGCCGCGGAAGCGCACCTGAAAGCGCGCGATGCGGTTGCAGGGTTTTTCCACTTAATCGACGAATGATACCGCAAGTCGTTTGGTAGTGAACACCGATTGGTTTTTGGGACTTGTAAAATTGGGTGATGGAACCAGGCAATTTCTTAATTATTTTACTGCCCGGAATCAAACCGGTGCAGCGCGATTGATTCTCGTAGCCGCAAAATAGGTTCTCATTGTCATGGGCAACGTGGATCCACAAGCTGAAACGTGTGTGGGTGTGCAAAACGTGTGTGTGTGTGCAAAACGTGTGTGTGTGTGTGTGCAAAACGTGTGTGTGTGTGCAAAACGTGTGTGTGTGTGTGTAAAAAACGTGTGTGGGTGTGCAAAACGTGTGTGTGTGTGTGTGTGCAAAACGTGTGTGTGTGTGTGCAAAACGTGTGTGTGTGTGCAAAACGTGTGTGTGTGTGTGTGCAAAACGTGTGTGTGTGTGTGTGTGCAAAACGTGTGTGCAAAACGTGTGTGTGTGTGCAAAACGTGTGTGTGTGTGTGCGCAAAACGTGTGTGTGTGTGTGTGCAAAACGTGTGTGTGTGTGCGCAAAACGTGTGTGTGTGTGTGTGCAAAACGTGTGTGTGTGTGCAAAAGATGCAACAGAGAGGTTTGCACGCCTCGAATTGGATTGGGCCAGAGACGAGACACCGCGCGAGCGGAGCGATGAGTTCCGCTCGTGCTCGCTCAGGTGCTGCCCGCAGGATCGTGGGAGCTGGCGACGACGTCTTCATCCAGCAGTGTGGATGACTCACGGCTGATGATGACGACCGATGATGATTTGTCCTTTGGGCACGTGGACACTGCGATGCCGGCAAAGCGCGGCGTGTTGACGCGTGGTTGCCTGGCGCGTGAGCATTGCCGTAGGACCGGAGGAGCGAGATTTTGGTGTAATGACAGATGACGGCAGTGCGGAGTGCTTTGCCCCCCCCCCCTCCCTCATCGCTCTGTAGGGATGCGAATCGCAGATGTCATTTGCCCTGGGACGCGGATCGTTCTGGAGCAAGGGGATCGCATCCCGTAATGGCCGAGCAGCTGAGCTCCCTGCTCGCCCCCCCCCCCCCCCGATCGTTAGAGGGGAGGTGCAACCCGGACATTAAACGGCTCTGCATCCGATCGTACGCCCGAGCATTCAGTTGCACGCGACTGAGCTTGCTTATTGTAGTAATAACAACTGCTGATTTAGCGTCTTTCATCGTACAATCTCGTGGCGCTTTACATCGGTGACAGTGGGTGGGGGTTGGGTCAGAGGTGGCGAAGTTAAAATAGGAATTGGCAATCTCAAGGTGAAATGTTTTTAAGGTGGAAGGTCTTGAAGGTCCCAACCGAAGCACATGGCAAGCCTCACCTGTAGAGTCAGTGACAGTGTTTAAAGGCTCTCTCTTGCACTACCACAGAGCGGTAGTCACACCTCGTGGCAAGCCTCACCTGTAGAGTCAGTGACAGTGTTTGAAGGCGCTCTCTTGCACTACCACAGAGCGGTAGTCACACCTCGTGGCAAGCCTCACCTGTAGAGTCAGTGACAGTGTTTGAAGGCGCTCTCTTGCACTACCACAGAGCGGTAGTCACACCTCGTGGCAAGCCTCACCTGTAGAGTCAGTGACAGTGTTTGAAGGCGCTCTCTTGCACTACCACAGAGCGGTAGTCACACCTCGTGGCAAGCCTCACCTGTAGAGTCAGTGCCACTGTTTGAAGGCGCTCTCTTGCACTACCACAGAGCGGTAGTCACCTCATGGCAAGCCTCACCTGTAGAGTCAGTGACAGTGTTTGAAGGCTCTCTCTTGCACTACCACAGAGCGGTAGTCACACCTCGTGGCAAGCCTCACCTGTAGAGTCAGTGACAGTGTTTGAAGGCGCTCTCTTGCACTAACACAGAGCAGCATCACCTTCGATTAGCACGGTTAGCCACATATCACGCTAAAGAAGTTTGTCATGCAATACATACATGATGCAGTACGTGACCAACGGTCCGGTGGACAGGGCGCGTCGTTTAAAACCAGATCATTCGTACATTTGGTGTTCACACTGTCGCTATTATGGCGCGAGGGTATCGCGGCGAATGCGCTCTGTTTTGCGGCCGCAGTCTGCGTCCGCGTCGCAGCAGAAAGGCGACGAAATCAATTCTTGCGGCGTTTCCATTTCTAAAACTCGGCAAATGTGGACCGCGACGCCCGGCGCAAGCGGCCCGAGTCGCCTTCAAATACCGTCACAATCCGCCGTGAAGCGGGACGGCACGTAGCATTTCACGGCAAAACTCAACCTCCGTATTAACCAGGGCGGCCGCGGGGGATTGAACCGCGAACCCCCCCCAACCTCTGCTGCCACCCGGCCCGCATCACCGCCCCGATCGATTCGGTGCGCTCGCTCGCACGGGCATCCGGCCCGTCTGACCCGTCCGAGCGTCCGTCTGCCGGCTCGGACGAACGTCCGCGTGCACCCCCTGGGCTTAATTTGCGTCGGCGCAGTCTCCACCGCGATCGGTCTTGGTGGGAGTGAGGGTGGGGGGGGATGAGGGGTCAGGCCTGCCAGAGGGGGTCGGCTCGCCAGGACCGCGCGGCCAGAGGAGCTGTCACCCCGGGACGATGACCGAGCGCCGCCACCGCCGTCGTCGTTTATTTTCATGAGTAACGGTTGTTGCACGTGTGTGTTGTTGTTGTTGTCACCCTGGGGACCGGTGGGGGTTGACGATCGATGTTCGGTCGCCGCTTTGATGGCAAAAGTTCCCGGTTTTGATCTTCCACAACGCTCCGTGGTCCACCATAAACCGCGTCCGCGCAAACCGCGGCAGATGCGGTTACCTGGAGCCCAAACGGAAAATGAAAACTCTCCAGTTGGCTCTCGTGAGCGATTTCACCGCCGTGGCGGGCGAAATGCAAATTCGCCGTTGCCGCCGCCTTGAAGCCACGGGAAGTTTTGCCGGGCGCTGGGTGGGCAAAGCGAGTGCTGGTTTTCCCGCAACGGAATGGCCACACTTTCGGCTCTTGGGAGCTTCGTGTGGTCTTGCACGAGGCTGACAAGCGGCATCCGTGCAATGGGCGTGGAGGGGGAGGCACGCGTCACCCACCGCTTTGCGAGCAGGGCACCCTTTGGGGCGCCACGGTGGCTAGGAGATGTTGACTACCTCGCCTGGTATGCAGGAGGTCGTGGGTTCGATCCAAATCCTGACGCCTGCTGTCTATTTGGAGTTTGCGTGTCTCTCTCCCCGTGCTCGCAGGGCGTTTTCTCTGGGTCCACCGGCTTTTCCCTCCACATTTAGAATCAACATCGCGCGTTTAGAGCACCTGGCTGCTATACATTTTCACATGATGATAAGCCACTCTGTTGAGCTATCATTTGTGGCCTGGTCGCTTCTGAAAAAGAGCCATATAGCTCAGTGGGAGGGGCCTTACCTGGTAAAGATAAAAATAGTTTAAAATACAAATTGGATACCTGATTACTGCAGGGGGGGGGGGCCTGCTAGGGGGGGTGGAATTTGAGCAAAAACTTTGGGGAGAGGAGCGTTTTGACAACACAGGGGAATTTACCTGGTTGTATCAAATAATCCGGAAGACATTTGGCAGACTTATTTTGCAACCCCGGTAAGGATGAAGACAGCCCAACGCCGTTCCCCCGGCTGTCCGGATCGCGAAGCGAGGGGTGGACGAGCGAGCGAGCCGCGAGAGCCGCAAAGTACCGAGGGGACTGGGGGACATTTTGTGGCGATGGTGGTGACCTCCGCACGCTGGAGATGAGTTGCCTGCAGACCCGTGTCAATTGGCTCGCCCTCGGGCATGGCGCGGTTACGCCGTGACTATAGCGTAGCATTAGTCGCCTTAACGTGTCTTGTGTGTGTGTGTGTGTGCCTGTGCGTGCGCCGTGTATTCACGTACCTGCGCATCTGCGGACACGCTTTTATCAGCGTATCGGCATAGCTGGGTATCTAAATGCATTTGTATCCACATTACCTGATTTTGCACGCCCGTCTGCCTGTTTGTGGTGCTGTTCGTATGGGGAGCGGCAGTGTCGCGGTTAGTGCCGCTGCGCTACGAACCCGGTCACCCGAGTTCGATTCCCGCTCACGGCCAACACCAGTGATGATTGTCTGAACCGGTCCTGGGCCTCCCTAGGGTCGACTCGGCACCTACGAAGGCCGTGCCGGCCTTCGTAGGGCCTTCGTAGGTGCTAACGGCACTCGCCCCAACGGTCTGTTCATGTGCGTGTACGTACCGTGTGCCATGCCGGACCTTGATAGGTGCTCGCGTGACGGCACTCGCCCCAAAGGTCCGTTGAGGCTATTCACGGGAACTTTTGTCTTCGTGTGCCGCGTGGCGCTCGCGCGTGTAGGCATGCCGCGGCTAGGCCCCGAGCTGGGCCGCGGGCAGTACGGCGTGGTGTACGCCTGCCACGAGCCGTGGGGCGGCCACGCGCACTGCGCCCTCAAGTCGGTCATCCCGCCCGACGACAAGCACTGGAACGACCTGGCGCTCGAGTTCCACTACACGCGGTGAGATTCGCCAGCCCGGCGCCCCTCGGCCGACCGCTCCGTCCGTCCGCTCGCTCGCTCGCCGTTCCGCTCGTCCGCTTGCCGGCTTGCTCGCCCGGCCACTCGTCTGCTCGTCCGCCTACCCTCCGGCTCGTGTCCTCGCTCGTCCACTGGCCCACCAATCCTAGCTCATTCTCCTCTGCGCCCCCCCATAGTCTAGGGTTTGTCTTCCCCCAGCCATCTGTTCTGTCGACTCCCTGTTCCTTTTCAGGTCCAGGCTCAAGATCTTTATCGCCCCTTCTGCCTGTGACCGACTGACTCTACCTGTCTCTGACCAACGTGCCCACCGTTGCGCCACAAGTGTCTTGAGATGATCTCCCATCAGCCGCACCTCTGATTATATAGCACGGTTGGCTACGTCACGTACGCATGTACGTGACGGTACCAATTAACCGCTGTACACACATCCGCGTCGCCACCGTTATTCCACCGATTGATCAAAACATTTCCGCGGTAGGTGTACGACTCCTGCGACTCCCCGCAGGAGTCGTACACCTACCGCGGAAATGTTTTGATGAAATGCCCCGCTCGATCCCTCGAACGCGTGCCATTTGATTAACATCCCCGGTTGCGTGCTTGACGTGCTTCTCAAGAACGCCGCATCAATCTCATCCCGCCGTCAGCGATCGATCGTCCGCGCGTCACGCCTCGCTCCCATGTGGGCAAGCCGCAACGCGGGCCCACTTGACCAGTACCCGCCCTTGACCGTCGTTATGGCAACATCGCGGTAATTCTGCGCCGTACCTAATGTGCATTCAATGGTCGAGCGGTCTGATTGATATGTGCCCGCGTCTGAGTATGCATGTGCGTGCGTGTACATCCTTTCAGGGATGAGGATTTGTATTTATAGGTCCTTTAAACTTTAAACTCGGAGCCTCTTACGTCACATCCCATCTCGGTGTCCGTGGCCCAAGGGTGACGCATTCGCCGCCTGTTAAGGTGTTCACCATTTTAATCCAGGCGGGTCGCCCTGGTTAATGCTGCGCGGGTGTGTCGACCATGAATACTCGCACGTCTGCTTCACAGTGAACTTTCATGGTCCTCTGACGTCATTCTAAATGAGTAGGCCATTGTGAGGCCTGGCCACGCCACCCCCCCCCTTCGTGTGCCGTGTCGACCCTGATAGGCTACTCGCGGGATCTTTATCTTATGCGTTCCTGTGTGTGTGCAATGACGCCCGTTTGTATGTGTGCGTGTGCATGCTAGCGTGTGCATAATGCCGCTTGTGTGTGTGATACCACACGCGTGTGTGCGTGCGCTACAACTCTGCCAACAGTGTTGGCACAGGTGGTGCATCTGCCAGTCATCTCAGTCAGTCAACACCGATTGCACCTGGGTCTGTCCCGTGACCTCCTGCAAGCAGTGAGCCTCCCACATTGCACGCGACGGCCTCAAAGTGCAGCTAGCCTGGCACAGGCGCTGCGAGGACGTGACTCGTTGGCGAATGTCGGCTGTTGTCGTTGTTTTGTGCGTGTGTGTGATTCTGCGTGTGTGTGCGTGTGTGTGTGATTCTGCGTGTGCGTACCCTCACCCAGCTCGATGCCGCGGCACGACCGGCTCGTGTCTCTGCACGGCTCCGTAATTGACTACACGTACGGGGGCGGCTCCAACATGGCCGTGCTCCTCATCATGGATCGGCTGCTCCGCGATCTCTACACCGCCATCAAGGTGCGTGCGCATGTGGCTCTTGTTCACGCGAGCGACCATACGTGCGTGCGTTCTCGTGCGTCCATGTGTGCGTCGGTGAGTGCACCCACGCGCGTGCGTGCGTGTGTGCGTGCGTGCATTCGTGCCTGTGTGCGTCAGACAGATCTTTGTCTCCGTAAACGTGCGTGTGCGTGCGTGCGTATGCGTGTGTGTGCGTGCGTGTGTGTGAGTGCGTGTGTGTGCGTGTGTGTGTGTGTGTGGCCGATGCAGCGCTCGCCCCTAGCGAGCGATCGCGCACATCCCGCGCCCGCGGGCGGTCTGTGATGGACTTCCATTTCTGGCTGTCGTCCGTTGGGGATTCGTGACACCGTGCGTCGGCAAATCCCCAACTGCGGGCAACGCAGCCGGGAGTTCATTTGCGACCATTATTTCCTTCGTGTCGTTTCCTCGTTGTGTTTTTTGTTTCGTCATACCTGCTGCTTTATCGGCGCCAGTTTATGGAACGACGAAGGGTCCAGTCGCCACCCTCGCTGAAGGAGATATCGCGGAACTACTTCTGAGATCCATTCAAGCGACCTCTTGCCCGCTCTCGGGGGCAGCACTTTCCCACGTGCCCCCACTACAAAGGTGCCCCGTCGCGTTACATTCAAAGCAACGTTTTATTATTAATATTACTCGACGAGCTGCAAGTTTAGCCGAATTTAGTAAAACAAAACAACGCGCGCCCGCCCGCCCGCCAAATCCGCAAGAGGCATCCTTCACGTGTCCTTTGCATGTGTTTAATAATAAGAGGGGGGGGGGCGGCTTTGAAGGGATTTGTTTGTGGCCGATAAACAAAAAAACCCGTAATAGCCCAGAGAGAGAGAGACGCTGGGGGATGGGGTGAGCGTCGGTTCTGACCCTTGCAGGCGCAAATGGAGCCTTATCTTTTCCGCACTCAAGCCTAAATAAATAAATAAACGCGCCAAGGGGCTGAAAGATTCCGCGTGAGGCCTCTTAATTATGGCCACTCCACGCCCCTTGTGTTTATTAAAAAAAACTGCACTTGGGTTTGTTTTTTTCTTTCCTCCACCGCCGCCACCATGCATTTTAACCCATGAGGAGGAAATTACGACAGTCCGATTCCGTTGGGCCGCGTCAGCTCTGCACCCGCGAGTTGTTAGCCACCTCGCCAGGTATACACGAGGTCGTGGGTTCGATCCTGACCCTGACACCTGCTTTATATTTGGAGTTTGCGCGTGTTTCTCTCAACTGCGGTCGTGTGGATTTTTCTCCGGGTCCCCCGGTTTTTTCCCTCCGCATTTTGAAATGTGCATGAAGAATATTTGGCTGCTATAAATTTCCGCACGATAAGCCACTTCGCTGAGCTATCATTCGTGGCCAGGTCGCTTCTGAAAAATAGCTACATAGCTCAGTGGGCCTTACCTGGTAAAATAAAAACAGTTTAGTTTTAGTTGACCCCGGAGATGGGTCGACTTCGCCCCGACTACGAGCGAGCGATTGCCACCTCTATGCGTCCGTCCGTCTGTCTCTCTGACTCTCCCATTGGACCATTCCATCCATCCTTCCGTTCATCCGTCCATTCGTCCGTCTGTCCAACTGTTTGTCCATCTGTTCAGCCACAATTCGCTCGTCCGTCTGTCCATCTGCCCGACCGTCCATGCTTCTTCTGACCGTCTGTCCATCTGCCCGACCGTCCATACTTCTTCTGACAGTCTGTCCATCAGTCCGCCCGACTCTCGGACCGTCCATCCATCTGTCTTTTCGCTCCAGCGTTGAGGTGCAGAGCCCCGCTGCTACCGTTCCACCGCCGTTGTCCAGGCAGCAGTCACTGCAGGGTGAATATCAGGGCTGGAACGGATCTCTCGCAGAACGGCGCAACTTCTCCCTTATTCTTAGCTCTTTCGGTAAAGTCGCGTTGGAGGGAAACAATAAAAGAATAATATATATAACAATAAAAATGATCACGACGTTTCGACCATAACACAACCGGTCAAAATAAAAAATTCGTGAATTTTTATTGTTTTATATATATTTTATTATTTTATTGTTTCCCTTCAACGTGACTTTACCAAAAGAGCTAAGAATATGAGTTACTGCAGTCACGAAAGCTTTAAATCAAAATTTAACTTCTCCCTTGCTCGCGAAACGTCGAACTGCAGTTGCGTATATCTTAAAACCACTTCCAATATCCCTCCATGCAGTAGGGGACGGAACTTTCCCATCCACCCCTGCCACCGTGAATAACATTCATCGCCCCGACAGTCAGATCCGCACTTAATTTACCGCAATTACCGAATTCGACGTGCCCGTTCGTGCGGTCACCCGTGAGCCGGCTGAGAGAGAACTTCTGCTTCGCTTCGCCCGAGAACTCGTATTTGATCACCCGGGGCGGGCTGAAGCCCCGGATTCTCGCGACCTAGCCGGTTACCGGCTCGGCATTTCCGCCGCGACCCTGGGGCCAGGTCCCCCCCCACGCAGCCGTCCGGGCCGCCTCGCCGCGATCGCAAACAAAAAAATCCCCGAGGGCAGGAAAGGGTTAGTGTGCACGCGGCTCGGCTCGGCCATTGCAAGCCCCGCATCCTTCCGTCCGTACTTCTGTCCGTCCGTCCTTCTCTGTGTCCGTCCTCACGGCAATCGCCGAACAAAGCCGTTTTGTCTGCTTTACCGGTGTGGTGGAGAGAAAAGGCCCCCCGCCCCTCCCCCCCGCCCCCCGCTAAAATGAGAGAGAGTGAGGAGAGAGTGCCGCACGCCCCTTTGAAGAGAGTATTGAAGTTGCTGCTAAGTGCCACCCACCCCGACCCACCCGTTTCTCCGCCAGCGGCATTAACGCGCCCCGCCACGCTTTTGTGACGGAACAATGAGCGAGCCGCATCTTAGGCCGCGGAAACCGACGCGCGGGCGTAACGGTCCCGGCGCTGCTTCTTCTCCGTCGTCGTAGCAGCAGCAGCAGTAGCAGCCCGCAGCCCGCGTCCGTATTAGCATTGTCGTTCAGGTTGTCTTATTTATTTATACGCGCACGCGCGCGCGTGTATCGAAACACAAGCACGCACTCGAAGCTGTGAGCATTTGTGTTTTTCCTTTATTGACCAGCGGGCGCCAAGAGCTGCTCAAAGTGTGGATACAATCAGCAGTCGGCGGTTTTAATCAGTGCGTGGGGGTTTTGTTTGATCGGAACACTCGGGGCCCGACGACATATTCAAATGAAAGTCTTATTTAAAACCCGCGTGGCGTTCTCGTGTTTGAGAGTGAGCATTTGCAAACGGAGCAGAGAAGTGCGTGTGTATTGTGTGCGAGCGTGTATTGGGGAGCGGTGGCACAGTGGTCGGCGCACTGCGATGCGAAGCAGCCCGGCCGGCCGGTGTTCGATTCACGCTCGCTGACTAACGAGAGCGAATATCTCAACTTGTCCTGGGCCCCCCTGTAGGGCGATGCAGCCTTGACTGAGTACCTGGTGTGGTGTGCAATCGTCAGCACTGGGGATACAAAGGTGGCCATGCGTGGCCCTAGCCACCTACCCGTGCCGGCCTTCATAGGTGCCCGTGAACAGCACTTGCCTCAACAGTCTGTTAGAGGCTACATATATGCATGGTCTAGTCCGGGGGTCACCAAACTACGGCCCGCGGGCCGGATCCGGCCCGCGACGTCAGTCCATCAGGCCCGCCGTCAGAGCCTACGCTCTGACGTTACCATGGTTTCCATGGCAACACACACAAACACGCATTTTTCCCGCCCCCAAGTATTGAACAGAATGATTAAGCGGCCCGCGCTCGTCATTCTATCAGTTATGCGGCCCGCTGTGAAAAAAGTTTGGTGACCCCTGGTCTCGTCTATATCTGCATAGTGTATATACGGTGTGTGTATGTGGCCTAGAGGGGGCGGGAGTGTAGTGGTTGGCGCCTAGCGCTACGAACCCAGCGACTCGAGTTCGATTCCCGCTCACGGGCAACACCAGTGACGATTTGACGGTCCTGGGCCTCCCCTAGGTCGACTCAGCCTCAACGAAGGCTGCCGGGCGTGGTGCTGACCACCCACCCCCTTCGTGTGCCGCCGTGCCCGTCATTCATAGGTGCTGCTCGCTGGACAGCACCCTGAAAGTCTGTTCAGGCTATACGGGGGATCTTTTTCAAATGTGTTTCCCCTTCAAGTGCTCGCTTGTACGTGTACGTGAGATGCTCCTTGACCGCTCGTGCCTGCGCCAGTCTGTGAAGGCTATGCACGGGGTGGGATCTTTTGTCTTTCAGGGGGGGCTGGTTTTAGCGGCTCGGCTCCGGGTGGCGCTGGACGTGGTGGAGGGGATCCGATTCCTGCACAGCCAGGGCCTTGTCCACCGAGACATCAAGCTGAAGAACGTGCTGGTACGTCCGCCCCATGTGACCGCACGCCCCCCCCCCTTCCCGTGTCCGCGGTGGATGCACTTGACCGGAGATTCTATCACGGTCAGCGTCACCCTGGCGCGCCTACGTGCGCATCCTAGCCTGGCACAGAGTGCACCTAGCCTGGCAGGATCGCTGCGGTGACGTCACCGCCACCCGGTGGCGGATGGCGGTTGTTTGTGCTGTGTGTGTTGGTGTAGCGGTTAGCGCGCCGAGCTACGAACCCGGCGGCCCGAGTTGGATTCCCGCTCACGGCCGACGATTATCTGAACTGGTCCCGGGCCTCCCCTAAGTCGACCCACCCTCAAATGGGTACCTGGTGGTGCGATGCGTAGTAAACATGGCCACGAGGGAGACAAAGGTGGTCGGGCGTGGTTCTGACCACCCACCCCCTCGTGTGCCGTTCCGGCCTTTGTAAGTGCTCGCTAACTGCACTTGCCCCAACAGTCAGTTCAAGGCTGTATGCGGTAATCTTTGTTTTTGCGCGTGTGTGCGTGTGTGCGTGTGCGGCTGTGCGTGCCCCGTGTGCGCGTGTGCGCGTGTGTGCGTGCATGCCCCGTGTGCGTGTGCGTGCGTACGTGCCCCGTGTGCGCGTGTGCGCGTGTGCGCGTGTGTGTGTGCGTGCATGCCCCTTGTGCGTGTGTGTGCGTGCGTGCCCCGTGTGCGCGTTTGTGCGTGCGTGTGCGCGTTTGTGCGTGCGTGCACCGTGTGCGTGTGTGCGTGTGTGCGTGTGTGCGTGTGTGCGTGTGCGCGTGTGCGCGTGTGCGCGTGCGCGTGTGCGCGTGTGCGCGTGTGCGCGTGCGCGTGTGCGTCGCTCTGTTTAGCTGGACAAGTCAAACCGCGCGAAGATCACCGACCTGGGATTCTGCAAACCCGAGGCGATGATGTCGGGCAGCATCGTGGGGACGCCCATCCACATGGCTCCGGAGCTCTTCTCTGGTGAGTTCGAGGGCAAACTAACAAGTAAGAAAAACCTTGCACTCGCATGGATACGTGTAACGCTTCCCAGCGCCCGGTCACCCTACCCTCGTGTCTAATTTGCGATAATCAGAATGTTTTATTTATACTGCGGGAGGAATCCGACGATCACTCCTTTTTCACGGGTGTCCAGCAGGGGCACGGGGTCAGAACGTTAGAGCAACAAGCAAGGCGGAGAGACGATAGTCGCGGTCGCGCTAGCGCCAGGCTCGCAGCAGGAAGCGGCGCTTCCGCAGTGCCAGCGACGTGACCTCGGTGGGGGCTCCGATCACGGCCGTTGCCGGACCGGGCCGGGACGTCGACGCTTCTCTGCGGAGTGCTGGGTTTTTTTTTATTTTTTCTTATTTTATCCCTACCAAGTTCTGGTCTCGCTGGGATCAAGTTGGTTACTTTTCTTCGGGGTAAACGAGTTCCGAATAGTAACGCAACTTTATGACTGCACTTTCATTAATTTTAGGGCATCTTTGCGAGAGTTGCCGGGCCCCCCCCCCCCCCCCCAATTGTGGATGGGAGCAACGGGCCAATGCCTAAACACTTTAAACTGTAGATCAGCACCGCCTTTCAACGGAAATTACGATTTGGAATTCGAGAGCCTCCAAATGCGGCCGCCGTCTCAAGATGCCGTGCGCCAAATATTGGGGGCATGTGCAGCGCACGCCGGTTGTTTTGAATGACCATATTTGTTGCCGCGTGTAATAAATATGAAGCAGTTGACCGTTTTACAAGAATGACCCACGGAGGATCTTGGTGACAAGGGAGCCACCGCCGGGGCTGTGCAATTTTAAATCCAGATTGACGAACTAATTTCTTTAGAACTGCTTTTTGTGTTTGAGTTTTTTTGTCGTTCCCCCACCCCCGGCACGTGCGATTAGCGCGGTCGGCTACGTGCGGTGCGAAAGAAGTACAACATGTACAAAAAAACATAAAGTTACAGCACGTAAGTCGTAATACTGCGGACACTGAGTCACGAGCAAGTGAACAAAACAATGAAGCCTTGCTCTTTTCAAGTAACACTGGCAGTTCATGCACTTCAACACTGAAGATCCAAGTCTCACCGAGTCCGTGAACTACTTATACAGGGATAGAGTACATATCAAATGAAAAAAAAACTATAAACTGCTTTTTAATTTTACCAGGTAAGGTCCCCACTGAGCTACGCAGCTTTTTTTCATAAGCGACCTGGTTATCAAAAATTGATAGCTCAACGAAGTGGCTCATCGTCACGCGGACATTTAAAGCAGCCTAATGCTCCAAACGTGTGATGTTGATTCTAAGTGTGTAGGGAAAAACCGGGGGACTCGGAGCAAAATCCACACGACCACGGGGAGAGAGGAATTAAAAACTCCAAATATACAGGCATCTTCAGGGTTGGGATCGAGCCCACGACCTCCTGCATACAAGGCGAGGCAATTAACATCTGGCCACCGCGGCACCCACAAATATAGGACCAAAAGACCCGCGCGGGGTTCGCTCGCCACGTGTGAAAGAAAAGGGAGATCTTAAATCGAGGTAGAAACTTTTTGCAAATATCGGGTGAAGGGAGGCATTTAAAAACCGAATCCACGAACCGAGAGCCCGTTCCGTTCGTGAGGGAGCGGAATGTTGCTCCGTCGGTGTTGTGCCATACAACAAAAAAACAAAAGCAGTTTGGCCCCGGAGTAGCGCAGCTACCATGCTTGACTTGCAGCTACCACGATTGACTTGCATTCAGCGTCGCGTCTTTCTATCACCCCGACCGGGCTCCTAACGTGCGCCGCTAGAATTATTTAGTTTTTTTTTAAACGGCGGTTGAAGCCTCGCCCTCCTCGCCCCTCTCTCTTTGCTCCTTGCAACTCGAGAAAAAAATTACTTGAATTTTAAGTCGCCCTGCTCGTACGAAGTGGCATGTTTCTGCCACGAGTTTTACTTTGATTTGAACTTTTTGTTGTTGTTGTTGTTGTTCTGCTCGCTAGCCCCAAATCCGCGCGCGGGGCTCTGATTTTAAAACGCGAGCCACTTGAACGTCGCCTCGCCGGTCTGGGTGAAAGGTCGGGGGCGGCAGAACGAGCGTCGCCATGGGGTTTCTCGCTCGCAGCGGTCGCGCGCCCCCCTCCCCTCACGCTACGACATTACAATGATCTCAACCGGTCCTGGGCCTCCCCTAGGTCGAATCGGCCTCGAACGAGTACCTGGTGCGGTGTGTTAACGTCGCCACTGGGGAGACAAAGGCAGCCGGGCGCGGTGCTGGCCACCCACCCCCTCGTGTGCCGTGCCGGCCTTCATAGGTGCTGCTCGCTAACAGCACTTGCCCCAGCAGTGTGTTGCGGGTTGTACGGGGGAATCTTTGTTTTTAATCCGTGATGATATTTCCAAAAGTTAAATCGCCCAGCCAAGATGAATACCTATTGAGCGACAAGCGAAATCGAAAGTTTGTCTCGCACGCCTCCACACTCGCTGCTAAAGTTACGTCCGGGTCGCCGGATCTTGTCGGGCCTGTCGTGGGGGCCCATGTCGGAGGTTAAAAACAAGACCCTCGGGGAGGGGGAGGGGGGGAGGGAGGAGGCCAGGGTGGCTCGGGAGTCTGAGACACAGAGCTGGCAACCCGAGTTGCAGGGCAACCTGAGTTGGGGTAGTAATAGGGGTTGGGGTAGTGATAGGGGCTGGGGTAATGATAGGGGTTGGGGTAGTGATAGGGGTTGGGGTAGTGATAGGGGCTGGGGTAGTGATAGGGGCTGGGGTAGTGATAGGGACTGGGGTAGTGATAGGGGTTGGGGTAGTGATAGGGGCTGGGGTAGTGATAGGGGCTGGGGTAGTGATAGGGGGCTGGGGTAGTGATAGGGACAGGGGTAGTGATAGGGGCTGGGGTAGTGATAGGGGCTGGGGTAGTGATAGGGGTTGGGGTAGTGATAGGGGCTGGGGTAGTGATAGGGGCTGGGGTAGTGATAGGGGCTGGGGTAGTGATAGGGGTTGGGGTAGTGATAGGGGTTGTGATAGCAGAAAAACACCCCCAAAGCACAATGTTTCCACCTCCATGTTTGACGGTGGGGATGGTGTTCTTGGGGTCATAGGCAGCATTCCTCCTCCTCCAAACACGTCGAGTTGAGTTGATGCCAAAGAGCTCCATTTTGGTCTCATCTGACCACAACACTTTCATCCAGTTGTCCTCTGAATCATTCAGATGTTCATTGGCAAACTTCAGACGGGCATGTATATGTGCTTTCTTGAGCAGGGGGACCTTGCAGGCGCTCAGGATTTCAGTCCTTCACGGCATAGTGTGTTACCAATTGTTTTCTTGGTGACTATGGTCCCAGCTGCCTTGAGAACATTGACAAGATCCTCTCTTGTAGTTCTGGGCTGATTCCTCACCGTTCTCATGATCATTGCAACTCCACGAGGTGAGATCTTGCATGGAGCCCCAGACCGAGGGAGATTGACAGTTTTTTTGTGTTTCTTCCATTTGCGAATAATCGCACCATCTGTTGTCACCTTCTCACCACGCTGCTTGGCAATGGTCTTGTAGCCCATTCCAGCCTTGTGTAGGTCTACAATCTTGTCCCTGACATCCTTGGAGAGCTCTTTGGTCTTTTCCATGGTGAAGAGTTTGGAATCTGATTGATTAATTTCTGGCTCCCAGATGTCTTTTATACAGGTAACAAGCTGAGATTAGGACCACTCCCTTTAAGAGTGTGCTCCTAATCTCAGCTCGTTACCTGTATAAAAGACACCTGGAAGCCAGAGATCTTTCTGATTGAGAGGGGGTCAAATACTTATTTCCCTCATTAAAATGCAAATCAATTTATAACATTTTTGACATGCGTTTTTCCGGATTTTTGTTCTTGTTATTCTGTCTCTCACTGTTCAAATAAACCTACCATTAAACTTATAGACTGATCATCTCTTTGTCAGTGGGCAAACGTACAAAATCAGCAGGGGATCAAATACTTTTTTCCCCTCACTGTAAGGGTGGATGGGTGTTCAGGCAGGGAACGGGCAGCAGGTGAGTGAAGATGAACCTCTTTCGCACTGTACGGAGCCGACCGCGCTAATCAAAGGTGCTCGGGTGCGACGCTTGCGCGCCGATGCCTGCCGCTCGCGCACGGCAGGAAAGCAGCCCTCCCCCACCGTACGTGATTCACGAGCGAGTCCCCGAGTAAACATTTCGTGGGAGCAGGAGGAGAAGGAGAAACATTAAATTCCGAGCTTTTCGTGCCGGTGATACAGCATCGCACAGCGAGCGGGCGTGAGCCTTCCCGTAGCGCTCTTTAAATGATAATAATAATAATCGCGCGTTTGTGATCGCTCCTCGTTTTCGCCGTCGCTACAAACGCGTTTATCCTTCCGCTGCCACCATTACGTCTAATTGTCATTTTTCACGGGACCCGCGTGTGGGGTGACCTTACCGATACCTCCCTCCCCGTGTTCGCTCGCTCGATCGCGGGAAGCCATGGAGAGGCGAGATGGATTTATCCTGCGTAGTCGCTGATTCATACATTCAGTGGGGGGGGGGGTGGGGGGTGGCCGTGATTGCTCTCTCCCCTCGAGTGCCCATCTCTCCCCCGTATCCCCCCGCTAAGTGAACGAGCGGCCTTTGTCCGTCGGTGACGAACGGCGGGAACGAACGCAACGGACCGCAATCAAGCTCGCAGAATACCCGCGCCGCTCTCTCGACAGCGCCCTCGTTAGAAGAGAGGGGCCCGCCGCTCGGGCAGCTCTCAAATGATGGCTTTGAATGGGTATCGATGATCAAAAAACAAACTTCCTACGTACGTCACTTGGGGCAAGTGCTGTTGGCGAGCACCTATGGAGGCACACACACCAATAACAAACACACACACACACCCAACAGACACACCCTGTGCTTTCAGAAGCATCTGCTCCTCCTCCCCCCCCCACCACCCATCCCCCACACCCCCCACCCCTCATCTCATCCTCCCCCCCCCCCTTCCTCCTCCCTCCTCCTGCTTATCCTCTCTGCGCCACCTTTTGATGGTACCCCCCTCCGTCGTCTCTTGTCTCCTCCTCCCCCCCCCCCACCCCGGCCTTGCGTCTGCGTTGTGGCCGCGGCGGCGCAGGCAAGTACGACAACTCAGTGGACGTGTACGCGTTTGGCATCCTCTTCTGGTACGTGTGCGCCGGCGCCGTGCGGTTGCCCGAGGCCTTCGAGCGGTGCGCCACCAAGGATCAGCTGTGGACCAACGTGCGGAGGGGTGAGGCAGCGCGCGCGCGACCCACACGGCGGCGGCCGCTCCGGAGTGCTCTTCCTTACGACGTCGGGAAGCCGCCGCACCTCCCATTAGCACGCTCGGCTACACACGGTGCTGAGGAAAGGTTTCGACGAACGTGCACGCCACGCATCATCGACGACGAGCCGCTGGCTCGCCACTGAGCCCGCATGCCGCGCGCGGTTATGCGGGCGCGCACACGCGGCGGCGGCGGCGGCGGCACCGCGGCACCGCGGCGCTCGCGCCAGGCTGGGTTCACTTCGAGGCCGTTAAGTGACGTGCGGGAGGCTCTCGACGCTGGCGGCATTGCACGGAACAGATGCGGGCGTGGTTAATGTACGCGTCGCGCGCGTGCGTCGCGCGGGGAGCGGCAGTGCATCGGTCAGCGCGGTGCCCTACGGACCTGGACACCCCGGGTTCGATTCCCCGCCCACGGTCACCACCGGTGACGATTATCTGAACCGGTGCTGGGCCCTCCCCTACTTTGACTCGGCCTCAAACGAGTACCCGGTGCGGTGTGTGTAAACACATCGCCACTCGGGAGACGGACGACGAGGCCGGGCACGGTGCCGGACACTCACCCCCTCGTGCGCCACAGTGCCCGGCCTTCATAGCCGCTACTCGCTAGCAGCACTTTGCTCCTACAGTCTGTGGGTGGGGGGGGGGGGGGGGTGGAATCATCGTTGTCTTTGGTGCGGCGTGCAGGCACGCGGCCCGAGCGGCTGCCGCTGTTCGACGAGGAGTGCTGGCAGCTGATGGAGGCGTGCTGGGACGGAGACCCCGCCCGCCGCCCCCTCCTTGGCATCGTGCAGCCGCGCCTCCTCAGCATCATGCATCGCCTGTGCGGGTCGTAGCGTCGCCACAACCTGGTCGCCACCCTCGCCCCCTAAGCCCCCCCTCCCTCCCTCCCTCCCCCCCCCTCCCTCCCTCCTTCTCCCCGCCCCCGCCGCGCCGCCCTTCCTGCCGGCGGCCTCCTCTGCTCTCCCACCCTCGCTTTGCGCGGCCGCATGTGACCGACCGTCCGTCCGTCCGCCGGACGTGTGCCCCGCCGGGTTTTTAACGCGGCGAGGACCGGCGGCCGTTGTCAACGAGATGAGGGAGCCGGAGCCCGGAAATCGGCCGAGGGGCCGGTGCCACAGCAGGCGGTGGTTGGCGGAGAGAGGAGGAAGTAGGAGCCGGTTAGCACCGCCGTTAAGCCGGATCGGGATCGAGCCGCTGAGCCGGGTTTCCGCCGCACCCCCTTGCCGCTGGATCGGGCCCTTAGGCCACATGGGGGCGTCCGTCCGATTGAAGCCATCTGTCAATGTGGGACAGTGCGCCCAGGTCAAGTTTGTTCTGTTCGGATGGGACAATCCGCCGGGATCAGCTTCCCTTATCCGGATGAGGCCTGACCATCCAGATTGGCCGAACTGGATCAGCCGCAAGTGGAGATATAGAAACTCTCTGGACAATACAACTTGGATCGGCTATTCTCTCCAGCTGCACCATCCAGGTGTCACCATTCTTGTGGATTAAATCTTTCCATCCAGGTTGGATTCATCTGAATCTCGCCAGTTTATCTGCATCTCGCCAATCATGTGGATCTTGCCAATAAATCATCACCATCCATCCAGATAGGGACTATTTCACGCGAATGGAGTGCCTCAGTCCAACTCAACCCGTCTAGGCGGGTCAGAACCGTCGAGCCGGATTGAGCCCCCACCAGTAGCTGGCTCTGCGCTCGGCGGCTGACGATCGCCTGCCATGAGATCAGGGGGAACGCGGCACGCGCGTGGGACCGTGGGAGCGGAGCGGGCGGCTGGCACGAGAGGGGAGAGGAAGCTGGGCCGACTGCACTGGCGCGCACGCTCCCTACGACGCTCGGACGCGGCTCCCGTCGGATTTTTCCCGATCGTCGCCGGGCCGAGTCGCCCGGCCTCCGCCGTTTGCGCGAACGGCGAAGAAGAGAGGGCAAGCAAAAAAAAAAATGAACGGAGCCAGGCCCGTGGGATGAACGAGGCCGCGGCCCACCGACCCGGAACGCGGAATAACTCGCCAGGCTTGCGCCCGCGACGCCGGCCTCTCTGGAGACGACACAAACCAGGGAGCAGGGGAATTCCGACTGTGTCTGAGGGTCGTGGAGGAGTAGTAGGAGGAGGAGGAACAAGGCATGGATAGCGTCGCTACGGACCCAGGCTGCGATCGTTAGTTTGAGCCTCCAGAGCTCGGGGTCACGTTGACGCATTCTGTGTGTGTGTGCGCGTGCGTGGTGCTTTTTAATTGGCCCACGGCAGAACGTACCCGCGAAGGTAAATAAAACATTTGCACGCGGAACTTTTGACGCGCGGCTCGGCTCGAGCGAGGAACGTCAAGCGACTTCGCCCTCTGGCGCTCCCACGGAGGAGGATTGCTGACTCCGGTTCCCTCCAGCGCCGGCGGGGAGGCACCAGCACCCCCACCACTGGGGGAATGACGGGGAAGGGGGGCCGGTCGGTGGGGTCGGACTAACCACGTGAAGTTCTACGTTTTCTTGCGGGGGGGGGGGGGGAGGAGAGCCCCTTTGAACTGCGCGAGTCGCACACGTGTGTATTTTGTCACGACACGTTCAGAGCGGCCTCGCGGTGACTTCTTCCGGAAGAGAGTTTCCGTCGCGCGTTTGCCGGAGAGACGCGAGGTTATGGTTTACGTCGGATGTCACCCCCCCCCCCCCACCCCACCCACCTACCGGTGAACTCCGAACCTGCCCTTCCGAAAGCGAAACCGGAAAATCGCCAAGAAATAAGATGAAGGTTTTACTTATTTATTTTTGCTTTACTCGTCAGCTCGCCAAGATTGCGGTTCCACCTCCTCCACACGGCCACGCGGCTTCTTGGGCCTCGGTGGAGGGAGGTGGTGGCGATCGCCGGCAAGACCGTACGACCACAAATCTGAAAAATCATAATTCACCCTGCCGCCCGCTTCAGGTTATTCACGCTGTAAAGTTTAGCGGGAAACAATTTACGATGAAAAATAAGAATTCGTTTTACCCTTTCTCGCAATAAAACACGTGTTAAGATGTTCAAACACCAAATAGATAACTTTTGCAGGGAATCAAGTCCACATTAATCACACACGGTACTTGTGGTGAACATGCAACGTGCAAACAAACATGCTATGATAATGTATGCATTGCCAGTGAAACTGATTGGCCTACACGCCAGAGACAGCCTGCTTCATGGCCCCAGTCCCACCAGTGTCAGACCAGAGAGCGCCAAAAGGGTTACCACCTATTCTCATTTTTCATCCTTTGATTCTGGCCAAACAAAGGCCCAATGATATGTTTTTCCAGTGTTCGCGCTGCCTAGCGCCACGAATCCTGGAACGGATTCTGACCCGTGTTGTCCTCCCCCCCCCCCTCCCTCCTCCCGCTGGAATGGATTATGATGGCCTTGGGCCTTGCCTTCACCGCCGGGCTTAAGGCCACGAACCCCGAAGCGAACGGAACGCTCCGGGCTGCCCCCAGCTGCCTGCGTCGCGCTCCGGCTCCACCGCCCAGCCGGTTCCGGGCGACGAGTTTCCCCCGTTTGGTTGTCTTCGTTTTATCGTTACTCTTTGCTGGATCGGCCCGTGTGTAGATGTCAAAATACCGTGACGCTAAAACGTTTCAGCAATTCCTAATAACTGCAATAATAGGTAGTATTTTTTTTTTACTTTACTATTGAGAAAAGCAGCTGTGTTTACAACAAATATATAAAGACTACCTTCTAAGCGTCCTGTACAATGTCCTCGCGTCGGTATTATTTTCTGCGCCCTGGAATATTGCCCGTGTCTTTTGTAAAGGTGCACATACATTAATTTAAAATGCCCTCGGCCGAGCCCGCGACATTGGCGTTTGTTGGCGGCGCTGCGGGGGGTGACTCCGGGCGCTCGCGCGTCGCAGCCGGGCCCGACGGCAATTGTGAAGAGAGATGCGCGGACAAACTCTCGGCTCGCGGGGAAGCGCTTGGCGCCGCTGGTTACATGTGTTACGATTGCCGCGTTGTTATTGCGAGCGCGTCCCTCCGGGTGAGCGACGATGCTCCGCCTCGCTGGGAATTGATACTTTGCGTGCGCCCACGTGTCCCCGGGATGCAGCGATGTGACCCAGCCGTGCGCCCGCGAGCCCACGGGGGCCCCGTGTAAGACGCGGTATTGGCAAGATCGCGAATGGTCGGTTCGCGGCCTCGAGTTCGGGCCAGAGATTGCTTGGTCACAGGGGAGGTCACGATTCTTGAGGTCGCGATGAGTGAGGTCGAGATTGTTGAGGTCGCGAAGAAACGAGAGAAGAAAAACCGCATGTTTTTTTTTTTTAGCGATGAGCACAGCCGTCGGTCACACTGAGCGAGGCGGAATGGGACCACACCTGGCACGTGCTGTAATCTCGTACTCATCACGCTGCGTAGTAAGTGTCGTCGTTTTTGCCCACCTGCCTCTGGCTGGGTCGAGGAGACCCCAGATAAGCGAAACCAGCGGGGCGTTTTTTTTTTTCTCTTTCTGTGTTTGGGCCACGGATGTAGGATTTTGATGAAAGCTGTCGATGCGAGTGGATCCTTTGCACGAGCTTCAAGGCTTTCGGCATTACCCTGAGCTCTCCAAAATTAAGGGGAAGGGGTGGGGGGTCGCAATTGGGAGACATGAATAAGTCAATTGACGAGGCTCCGGTAGAATGAGTTTGCACAAGAGACGTTGTGGGACAACTCCGCAATCGATGCGTCTAGCAATCTCAGTCCCAACCCGTTTAATTTACATTCTTATACACTTAACCGCCCCCATCCCACCACCCCCCCCCCCCCCCCCCCCGTGTCGAGCGATGGGAGTTTATACATTTGCGTGACGTTACGCCGACAGAAGGACACGTGTCGAAGGGCGCCTGACGCCGCCAGTTAAGGGGTCGAGAAGAAAGTTTCTGTGGGCTCGCCGCAGGACGCGCGGTCGTCACGAGGAGGAGGAGAGGGTGAGACGACAGGGAGCGGCGGCTCAGTTGAGCGAGGCAACGCGGTCCCAGAGGGAGATGGAGCGCTGGGCATGTTGATGATAATGGGTGCCGTGGTGGCGAGGTGTTAACTACCTCGCCTGGTATACAGGAGGTCTCGTGGTTTCGACCCTCTTACGCCTGCCGTGTATTTTTGCGGCGTCTCTCTCGCCGTGGTCACGCGGAGTTTTCTCCGGGCCGTCGTCGGCATCTTGTTAACGCGCACGCCCCGAGCCGACAGCCCCCGCGACGCCTCTCGCCTGCTGACAGCGAGCAATTGGCTGAGTTCATCGTCGTCTAGGTTTGCGCGGTCCCGTGGTTGGTGGTGGTAGCGGTTGGTGTTGGTGGTGTTGGTGCTGGTTAGTGTTGGTGGGTGGTGGTGTTGGTGGTGGTGGTTTGTGTTGATGCTGGTTAGTGTTGGGGGTGGGTGTTGGTTGGTGCTGGTGGTAGTGGTTGGTGGTGCTGCTGGTTAGTGCTGGGGGGTGGTGGTGGTGTTGGGGGTGGTGGTGGTGGTGTTGGTGGTGGTTTTGGTGGGTGGCGACTTCGTGGTCAGACCGAAACGGATTCTTGACCGCCTCCGTCCAAGACCGCCCGCGGCTCGGAGCGAAGAGCCAAATGTCTGTCGCCGTGCAATACAACAATTTCGTTTTGATGAGCACTTGATTAAAAATGCCTCCGCCTCCAGGGTGCTCTCTTGCTGCGATCAAATAACCCTGAACAAAAAGCCGTGGCGGTGGCGGTGGCGGCGGTGGTGTCGGTGTAGGGTTGTCTGCTCGTTTGGTTTCTTTTAAACGCCCCTCCTTTTCACCCCGTCGAGGCGAGGTTAGAGCGGTGACTGCAATTTTGTCGCTCGAGATTTATCGCTCGCCTGTACATTTTTTTTTGAAAGGAGAAAACGGTCGCCTTGGGTGCGTGCGTCTTACAATCCGCTGGGTGTGCGCGCGCGTGCGCGCGTGCGTGCGTGCGTGCGTGCGCGGGGAGCGGTAGTGCAGTGCGGTTTAGCTCGTGAACCGGCGAGCCGAGTTCGATTCCTCGTTCACGGACAAGGCCGGTGACGATTGTTTGAACCGGTCCTGGGCCTCCCCGAGGTCGACTCGGCCTCAAACGAGCACCCCCGGCGCTGGGCGTGGTGCTGGTCACCCTCGCCCCGTCGTGTGCTGCAGTGTCGGCCTTCGTCAGTGCTGCTCGCTTACAGCGCTTGCCCCAAAGGAAAGTCTGTTCAGGCTATACGGGCAGGGGCGGGTGGGTGGGTGGGTGGTGGGAGCAAGCTCCTCGTGTGTGTGCGAGGCCAGCTCTGTATCACGCTGTCGTAGTGGGGCAACGCGTTTGGAGGGGGTGCGTCTTCCACTCCGGAGCGTCGCCCCTTACTCGCCATCTGTTGCTCCACGAGGATCCACGTGGTGCTGATGATGATGATAACAATGCGGAAACGTGCAGCGGTAGACTCCCCCCCCCCGTTGGTTATAAAGCATTAAATAATAGATTGTTAACAAATTCCTCTCTTCGTAGATAGCCTGGCACCTTGCCCCCCTCCTCCTCCTATCCCTCTGGCACGTGGGGGTTGGTAGCGGGGGGGTGTGGCGGCGGCCGGTGCAGTTGCACAGCCTGCGCACTCGACGGCTGAGAGGCTTGAGGAACAACGGAGTTGGTGCCCCCAGGCAGCTGTGGGGCATCACGGGCGGGCGGGCGGGAGGGTCACCAAAGCGAGACGAACGCAACGCGCGCACACACACGGCTCGGTGTTCTAGCGAGTACGCTTCGTCTTGTGTGGGGAGCGGTGGTGTAGCGGTTAGCGCTACGAAAACCCAGCAAAGCCGCTCACGGGCTAACACCGGTGACGGATATCTAAAACCGGTCCTGGGATCTCCCCTAGGTCGACTCAGCCGCAAGTAAGCACCCGGTGTGGTGTGTAAACATCGTCACCGGGGAGACAAAGGCGGCCGGGCGCGGTGCTGGCCACCGACCCCCTCGTGTGCCGTGCCGGCCTTCACAGGTGCTCGCTAACAGCGCTTGCCCCCTGCGGTCTGTTACAGGCTACACGGGGGGGATCTTTGTCTTAATTTGTGTAAATTAAAAGTCGTGTAAGAGAAGCGAGGACACCGACTGCGAGGAAGAGGATGGGGGGTGGAGTAGCGGTCTCCGGCCCTGACGGCACGCAGAGAGAGAGAGAGAGAGGCGCGATACGTCAAACAAATCAAATTGAACTCCCCTTCCCGCTTCGTCATGTTTACATTGCGGCGATCAGACGTCTCTCCAGCGACTCGTGTGTGTGTGTGTGCGCCTGAAAGTCTGCTTGGTGTGTGTGTGTGTCAATGTGTGTGTGTGCGTATCTGTGTGTGAAGGGGGAGCGCTACGAACCCCGTCGAGCTGAGTTCTATTCCCGCTCACGATTATCTGAACCGGTCCTGGGCCTCCCCTAGGTCAATTCCGCCTGAAATGAGCACCTGGTGCTAACAGCACTTGTTCTGAAAGTCTGTTCAAGGTGTACGGGGGGTGGGGGGGGGGGTCTTTGTCTGCGAGCCCAGTGTACGCGTCAGTGTTGTACCATGATAACAAACAAACGAGAAAACATTTTAAAAAGTTGTCACCTTTTAATTTGTTTTAAATGTGTCCCCTCCTTTAAGCGCTAAGTTGTAACGCACGCGAGATGGCGAGAAGCGATGGTTATATGCGGGGCGGTGGAGTTGTTGTGCACGGTGTGCACGCGTGTTGGTCGTATATATATTTTTTAACGAAAAAAAATAAAGTGAATATTTATGTTGTCTCCGCGGTCGGCATTTGTTATTCTGCTGGGTGGATGTGGCTTGGTCGTGGTTATTGTTTTGGTTGCCTTGTCGAGTTTCAGTCGACGTCGCTAGCATAGGGAAGTCTTCGCCCCATCCCACCATCATTGACACGCTGCACCTACCTCTGTCCCCTCGCTAAGATCTGTGGTGGGGGGGGGTGGGGATGCAGAACTTCTCAGCATTGACAGCTCGAGGCACCTTGGGGCTATGGGTGACCGAGATTTGTCCCCGTGTAGCCTTCCGGGGCTATGGAACGCTCTTCCACGTGATATCAAGAATCTCTCTCTCGAGTCTGTGGACATTTAAAATAATGCGCCTTAAAACATGTATACCCTTCTGCTTATTAAACCTTTAGTTCATTTAGTAAATTGATTCTTGAAATGTAAGTATAATATATATTTTAGGCCGAGTGTCCCGTACAACGCTTTATCCTTAATGAAAAGCCGCTGTGTGCATGGAATTGTTATTGTGTGTGGGCCCGAAGCGTCACGGGCTGGAGGGGAACGATGGCTCGACCAGTCACCGCATCGCGACGCTTTCATACGCGCTGCTTCTGCGGCCGTCTGGAACGTTCTTCCCTCCGATGTTGATGAAGCCACTGGGAGCTATGGCACTTTGAAATCATCATCTGGATTGACAAACTAATTGCCTTAGGACTGTTTTTTGTGTGGTTGTCCTTCCCCCACGCACCTCCGATTGGCACGGTTGGCTACGTACGGCGCGAAAGAAGTTCAATGTACACGTGAACATAGACTCACACAGTCACTCGCCCAGTCACAGTCACTCATCCACACACCCAATCTTCCGATTAGCACGGTTGGCTACGTACGGTGCGAAAGAAGTTCAACGTACGAAGACAAAGATCTCCCGTATATTTTTCGATTTAAAGCTTTCGTGACTGCAAGGGTTCATCTTCTTTGGTTCTTTCGGTAAAGTCACGTAGAATGAGAATAAAATAATAAAATAACACAA